AGTTACATGACAAGAGAAAAAAAAAAGCAGACAAAAAGTTCATAGAGTGCGTTTAATCTATGTATTTCGATAGAATGCAGGACTTTCAAAACCACTGCAAAAAATGATATAAATGGGGCAAGCAAAACACGCTATAAAAGGCAGCAAAACAGAGCATTATATAGTCATCAAAACAAAACCTCAAAATTGATTCAAACAATTCTTTGAATCCATGTATTTACACAGTACAGAAAGGATAATAACCTCCTCCACATGCTGAGCATCTCCAAGCAAGCAGACCTTCATTTTGGGGCGGGGTATGTGTCGCAGCTCAACAGAGCCACTGAAACCTCTTGTCCTTCTGGGGGTCATAGTTTTTCAAACCAATCTGTAGCTCAATAGTCTGAACAAACTTGCGTGGTTTATCGTTCACACCCTTTTTGATAGTTGTAACAGCTTCACGAATTGTATCACCCGCAAGCTTACTGCAGTAAACAAAACATAAAACATTCGAATCATGAAATTTAACATAAGTCACCCACTAGATCAACCTAAATTGTTTCAGAGTGCTTTCTACAACCAAGGTTCCTTCTTAGCCCTAAAAACTCAAAATGACGTCACCAACTCTCAACCAAAAGAGTACGCATCCATTAGCCATTTCAAAATCACCAACCACAATATAACGTCTCTTTACATATGGATTCTTAAACTGGAATTGCATTGCTCCTAACCTGCTTAACTATCAGCATTCATTGTAAGAAACCAAAGGGCCCTCAACCAACTTCTACAGGACCTTCATTGAATTTTTACTTTTTGTCCAATTTTAGTCTTGATATTCAAGAAGCCAGTCGAGTAAATATAATCTATGGCCAAGTTCAATCTGAGTATAATCAACACTTCAATTTATTATAATCATAAAGCAATTTTAACACAAATTAACAATTCGACCGAGCAAATTTCCCATTCTAACCATGTCAATGGACAAAACAACCTTTCAAAATATACCAAAATGCTTCAAAAACCATGAACCAACATAACCCCACATCATATGTCCTTCCAAACCATGAAGCACTAAAGGCCAAAACATGAAAAACCCAAGAACCCTTCAAGAAAAAGCAATAAAACGACACAAAAAGAAAACAACTTGAGATATTGAGACATAACTCATGACTGAAACCTCTAAAAGCAACTCTCTTCAGAGTCCTGTCCTGCAAATACAACAGCAAAAACATTAAACCTTTTTTTAAAAAAACCTATCTAGAACGTTGATCCCAAATCGAGGAAAAGGTGTTGAATCGAAGGAAAACCTACCAGAGAACAAAAATGAAGCCTGGCAACTAGAAGGACGCGGCTAGGGAGTGTAAGGTTTATGGAAGAGAACTTCTGGTTCGAGAAGAAACCCGGGCTACTTTTAATGGGCTGGGTCTGGCGTTTAGAAGAAACTAGACTTAGCCATTAATTATTGGGCCCTTTAATTATATATTCGTTTTTTAGTTTTTTTATGATTTGATCAACTTATAATCTCTGATTAATTTTTTAAGATTGAAAATTAATGCATTTAATTTGAACACTTTTGAGTATTATTTGCTTTGGTATTGGAATTCATTGCATTCATTGCTCTTTCTAATAAAATATTTTATAAAACATAAACAGAGTAAAAATGTTTTGAAGGATTCCATAACAGCAATAAACATCTCTTGGGTTAAACATTTAGATTTATTCTTAGTGAAAGAGCACAAGATTCAGGAGCCGAAGAAAACAGTCAAGAGACGGTGAAAAATAGGAATGCTATGCCAAAGAGAGTCGTTCTCATGAAGGCAGACAATCCTCCAAATTCGAGGAAGGATCTTTCCAAACCTCTCTGAAGGCGCAGGGGAGAAACTCATCCTTCACTCCCTCAATAATCCGTAGTTTCCAAATTTCAAATCTCCCTTCAGGCGACTTCAGAGAAAGAAAAACTTCACACGCATAGACTAGCAAAAGAGAACTAGCATAGCCGAAAACATGTTCGATCACTCAGCGACTAGGTCACTACCAGTTCATGCCCCTTATCCAACTATTATGGAATAGGTGTTGGTTTCTTTTCCTAGGAGAACTGCAAACATCCAAAGTTGAAATCTAGCAAGCGGGTCACCAACGCGTAGAGAAATTTCGAGTGAAAGAAACTCAAGTAAGAACATACAATAGTGGCCATCTGGCTGTGTAATCAAACCACACGTTTAATTCTGTGTGTATGCCAGGGACAACTCAAGACGTGTCAAGCAAAACATGAATCATTCAAAAGAAAACAAAGTTCACATCTATTCAGCAAAAAACACTTCATACAATTCTGGTAATCATAAAAATAAGAAGCATTAAAAAAAAATCCAGAAACATAAAATCCTAATATTCAAAGAAAACATTTCTCAGTTCAGCTCACGGTAGACTCTTCTCTTCTTACAAAACTATGGTTGCTTAACCTCCTTAGTAAAGGCGGACAGGAGTTCCCATGGTACTCTTAAGGTGCAGGGACTTGACCTGATTTCCAACAAAAAACTTAATGAGTACAAAACCAATCAAGGACAATCAAATATATATATATATCAATCCCAACAAACAACCCTGTAATTACTAAAGGCAGGACATGTGTTAACAGACATCCTACTCCCACCCAACCAGTTAATCAGTTGCAGGTTATAGCCACAAGACATGAGGATAATAGGTAATGAGATGACTATTTGTAAACAAAGCTACATGAAGCAAGCCATAACTAAATCAAAAGATTGATTAGGAGCCAAAGAGAATAATCATAACCGTTCTAGAGAAGCTCAAAGTAAAAATAAAACAAGCATGACAAACCAAATGAAAAAACTAATTTGCAAAAAGATTGATTAGGTTTATGACTCACATTTTGCCAATTCTTCTTCAAAAGTGAGACAAGGAAATTGACGCTCATCTGCACGTTCTGGAAGATCTGCTTGTCCTCCATATCGCAGTTACCAACAGCAACACCCATGCACAACACTTTCTTCAACTGAAACTTCACAGTTGCCTTTATTTCATTAACCTTTGACTCTAGCGACTCTTGGTGAGTCACAAGGGTTGGGAACTTTCCTGCATTCAAGCATAAAGCAGCATAAAAAAGAGAAACCACTACATCCACAAGCCAATCAACACTTCAACACTATCACAGTTCACGATGCAATAAACAAACATGGAGTATACTCATAGTAAACTTGCTTGCCTGCCTTGTTGAGGCCAGGGCCCAAGAGACGGGGAATCTGCTTGATGACAGACTCTGAGGCCAAAAATGCATGATACTGCTTTGAAAGCTTCTTGACCAATTTCTTGTTCTTGTTCAGCTTCTTCAGTGCTTCAACGTCCATCCATTGCAAGCCTATTGACACTGCCTGCCGACAGAAATCAATTGACACAACAACCACATCAAACAATCTCACACAAAAAACAGCTCCATAAATCTCACAGCCATCATCAAACAATGCTACCACAAAAGAACACAAGCAAGCATTTCACTTTCTCTAAAACTTGCAACCATGCAATCGAACCATCATCAAACATGTTCTATCACCAATTCCAAGATTTTGAGTTCGAAAGGGTGATATAAACCCCCCCCCCAAATGAATCAAATGCTTCTTTTACTCGATCTATTTTGACAGAATGGAATAAACATTTACCTCCTCCACATGCTGAGCATCTCCAAGCATGCAAACCTTCATTTTGGGACGAGGAATGTGGGGCAACTTAACAGAGCCACTAAACCGCTTATCCTTTTGTGGGTCATAATTTTTCAAGCCAATCTGAAGCTCAATGGTCTGGGTGAACTTGCGTGGCTTCTCATTGACACCATTCTTTATGGTTGTCACAGCTTCCCTGATGGTATCCCCCGCAAGCTTACTGCGTCCAAAGAAAATATCCAAAACCCCCAAAAAAATCAGTTCTGGGTTTGAAAGATCAACGAACTCAAATACAAGAACAGAAAAAAAACCGGTGATCTTTGCAACCCATACCTCATGTTCCAAGATTGCAACAAGGGCTCTCAGGATTTCTTTATTTATTCCTTTCTTTCCTGTAAGAGAAACGAGGGGATGAATCAGAGATCAGAGAGTTGAAGTCAAAGCAAGGAAAACAGTGAAAAGCACGCAAAAGAAAAAACATGCCCGCGCTCACCGAAAGACGAAGAAACCCTAGCCAGAGAGCAGGTGGCTGAAGGGAGGTGTATAAATATGTCAGTGGCTGAGAGAGCGCTAGAGCTAAACCCTAGTCGAAATATTGTATGTTTGGTGGGCTGGGCTTGGTGCAATGTATGATGTTTGAGCTAGGTTTTATATTTGAACACTCTCCGTGGGCCAATTCCAGCCCACGACTATGTTTGCATAGATTAATCAATTCGTGGAAAAAAACATGTTAAAGTCACTTGTTGAATTTATAAAAAGATTGGATTAGAGAGATGGATTGCTGCAAATGCTCGTGTATTTAACATCTCTCTTCCTCTTCCTCGTCTTCAAATTAACCATAGGTATTTTAAAAAAATAAAAATGGTGTTCAATAACATTTCTTGTCTAGGGTACCTTTTTTTTAATTTGCTTGGTCTTCATCACTGCTTCTGTTTTAGGGTTCTCATCAGAATGATCATGTACGTGATTCTTCTTGATGATGCAGGAAAATCAGTCCAATTGTCCCAAATGAAAGTTCAGGTTCTGGTTTCGTATCTGAAGACATGCATCTCTCATCTTATTTTAGTGCTTTCATGGAATTCCCTGGAGATTACAGTACTGCTGGAGTTGTAGTCTCATTGCATACATCAAACGGTGACGAGTACAAAAAACAATCATGATCGATGAAATTGATTTTGAGTTCTTGGAAAATATTAGAGGCAAACCTTGGTTTTGTTCCAACCAGTATTTATGGCAATGGTGGAAGTATAACCAGGGGATGGGTCTGATTGGGCAAAAAGTGGAGGCAAATACAGGATATTACAAGTGTAAGCATTATGATTTTGTGCTATATAAAGGGATGCTCAATTGATCCAACCCAAGAACAATTAGCTAGTAAGAAAATTAACGTGCTAATTCTACATATTGGAATCAATACAACAATTAGCTAGTAAAAAATGTGCTGATTCTGCAGTTCTGAATGCTCTCAATGGCTTGACAATTACTGGGAAAAAGAGATAAATGAAGAAATAAAGGATAGAACATCTAGTTTATTCTTATTGCTATGATCGTTATCGATATCCAACTTCATTGCTTGAGAGTCAAGTGGAAGGGAAACTCTAGCTGATATTTGTCATCCTGTACATATATATAATTGATGTAAACGAAGATTATTTTTCTTGTTAAATAATTACAAAAATTCGGTGAAATACATGGATATATACTGCTTAATGCATTGCTGATTAAAAACTAATAATTGATAAATCCAACATGCTCATCATTCCAGTAAATAATTAATGAAAGATAATTAATTATTTGAAGAGATCATCATGGATCATCAACACCTACTTGCTATGCTCAATCTTGGAGACCTTTTTCTGCGTTCCTCAGCAACAAGTGCTTCACGAGCTGATGAGATTTCCTTTGGGGCTAACAGCTCATCGAAGGTGGAACAATCAATCCAATCCTTGAGCAAATTCTCTTGTCCCCATGTATCTGGTATCATAACCCCACCAGCCACCTCTTCTCTATGCCTCTTTAATCTTTCACGTCCACAATCTCTATCCAACACCTCAGGAGCACCATCACTACCGCCCACTCCGTCACGATGTACTACTTCTTGAGGAGGCACCGAGCTGGTTGCTTGATCAGTGCCTGAAAATGCAAGGGTTTGGCTAGTGGATCCACCAGACATAACATTTGTGTGGCTATCAATATTAACTATATCAATGGTGGGTTCTTCTTCTTTCTTGGATTTTGTGAAGTGGGAGTCTTCCATCTTGCTAGCCATGCTTCGAAATTGGGGGCGTGACAAAGGAAGATTGGCGAAGATTACTATCAAAAATGGGGTTTAATTACGGGAGAAAATAATGATAACAATAATAAAAGCGAAGACAGAAGAGGAGAGTCCTGCAGATGAATGAGTGGGGGAGCAAGATTACACGTCACAAAGGCTTGCTTGCTTCGTATGGTGCATGGCATCTCTACGTCTCGGGCTTTATGCTGGAGAGAAATTTGTGTGGTTTCAGTTATCATAGAGAGACATACTGAAAGGTATTTGATTTTTATTATTATTATTATTGTAGTTTGGGTGGGGTTGATGGCGAGCTTGAGGTGGACAAGGTGAGGAGAAAGGGAGTTGTTCCATGGAAACAACACGAGGATGTGGAATGTGTGAAACAAAATGTTAGATATTTTTTGTCACTTAAGTGACAAATTAGAGCAAGTTATCGAAAATTTTTGAAAATAAAAATAAGGTTTTTTTTATAAAAAAAATAATTATTCTAATAAAATCAAGAAAATAAGCTTTTTATAAAGTTATATAGATTTTATGATCTGAATCATGGGTTTGACAGTTATATTTTTATATTCATTTTAAATTAATTATTTTCTTCAATTTCATCCTTCAAGATGTGTTTATTGAGAATTAGCCTTCATGCTTTATTTTAATTTGTTGTCATAGGATTCTTATAGTCTCGTAAATTGGATTATAGATTTGACATATTAACCCGAGTTAACCCGAATCAATTAAATATATTATTTTAATATTAAAAAAATATATCATTTTAAAAAAAATTAATCAAACTATATTTTTACGAGTTATATAAATTACTTTTATACTTATAAAATCAATTAAGTTAATTATATTAAATCAATCCTCCCATAATTTAAATTACTTTAAGCTTTAGGCATTTAAACTAACTAGCCAATGCATGTTTCTATTTAAGAAACTTTCATGAGTCTTTAAATAAATTAATTAAAAAAACCCTAGCAAGAACACTTTTTTCTCTTTATCTAATGATTTTAGCTAAATCCAATAAAGAAGGCAACATTAGAAGAAATAGCACATCAACAAAATATTTATTTAATTTTTATAAAGCTTTCTATCACTCTGTTTCACTCGATTGTACTGTAAAATTCGTAATATGTGAAACGAACATGGGAAAGTTTAAACAGGGAATAGTAGCAAGTGGAAGAATTTCTTCAATCTCTGCAGAGATAAAACAGAAACATAGCTTGTCAGCCGTGTGAGGCTGCTGGACTATGAACAATTGAGGTTGCAGATTGACAGCCATGTGAAGCTGCTGGACTATGAACAATTGAGGTTGCAGATTGACAGCCATGTGAAGCTGCTGGACTATGAACAATTGAGGTTGCAGATTGACAGCCATGTGAAGCTGCTGGACTATGAACAACCAGGTTGCAGACAAATTGCGGGCATCAAGGACTACCTTAACCTCATTTCCTTGATGATGACGTTCTTCAAATTGGAAATTCCAACCAACTCTCAGATCTATACATACACACGCATATATTAGAATTGTGATAACTCATATATTACATTGATGGGAATTAAATAAAATATAAATAATAGTTTATGAACCTAGTAAGTTTTCGATACTCTAGTAGATTTAACCATGATATAATTGACCAAATCAAATTTAATTTAAAATCTAATCAGGTTAAAATTAAAATATTTTTTTAATAAAAAATAATTAGAATTCATCCACTAACCTAATGACACAATAACTATGCCTTCTAAATAAAACTTTGTGTCAAGTATGGCAACTATAATCACATGTTGATTTTAAAAAAATTAGCGGACTCAAATTAAAATTTTGATAAAATAGCATGATATAAGTTTGTTGTGCTTCTAATGTATGATATTTAGTAAATATTACTATTTTCAAGTATGGCAACTACAATATCATGTTGTATAATAGCAATAACTTGCATATCACATATGTAAAGCATAACGTGTTATGAAATTTAACCCTTTATTCATATAAAAAAATATAAACATAATAATCATTTTTTTAAATGACACCAATAGACTCTTTCTAAAAAAAAAGATGAATTACTTGTTTTTTCCTCTTAAAACACCCAAAACTCAAACTCATCTTAGTTTTTAAACCTCTTAGAATATTTTCCTCTTCAAAAATCGTTGTTCACTGTCGCCGTCACCCCAACACTTTCTAGTCCTACAAATAAGATAAACATACTACATTGTTATTAATTATATGGGTTTTATATTTAATTTGTGTTTGGTTTAGTCGAAATTAAATTATTGTTCGGGTTTCAAGTTGAGTTTAGAATTTGTTAAATTAATAATAAATTAGTTATGGATGTTATCAACTAAAATTAATTTGATGTGATTGAACATGAAAATAACATCAATTAGGTTGAATTTCAATTAATTATTCATTGCATTGAATTTTGGATAAGTTATCAACTCATTTATATATTATAGCTCTTGTCATTGTGGCTGACTCTTTTTTTTTTTAATCTGATTTTATATCAAGTTCATATACCACATGTCACCTTGCATTTCTATATAAAAAGATCCATAAAACTTTTCCGCAATAGCATGTTGTATGGTGATGAAACATATCTCATTTATAAGTATCATACACTCCTAAAATATACATTATTTATAATATACACAATTCCACAATATTCATCGTCTTACAATATATATTTCACATTTTCATATTATACACTATTTACAATTGTAGCCTCATCCTGATTAACTTAATTATACATCACATACACATGGCCAAAATATACTCTACTTAAACAATAAATAATTACAAAAAATATTTATTTAAAATAAAAAAATAATAATAATAATAAATACTAGAAATGTATTTATCTTCCGATGTTAGTCTAAACTCGAATGTCTCTCTTTATTTTTCAAGGAAACATTTCTTGTCAATAAACCAACTTAATCTAATCTATTTGTCACAATTACACATTCACATCATAATTTGTATTTGAAATAAACATTTGTGAATATACTTTATTTCATTCTTTTCAAATATGCATTTTGTCAATTTCAACCTACTAATTTTATTATTTTATTTTCACACCTATTATATCATTCATGGCTCGTTGATATCACTTTTTAACTTTTAACATGCATTATGCTCATTTTAGCCTATTAAATTTATTTATCGATCTCAAGTAGATTTGATGTTATTTTGACTCATTATTAACATTAATTACTTCAAAATAATTATTATGACATCCTTTTAGCTCATTCATACAATTTGTCAATTCAAAACAGTTATCACACCTAATCTAATTATTGTACCAAGCATTAAGCTAATTTTTAATCACCAAGACCCTATATTCAAATCTAACATTTATTTAGTCATTTTCTTACACATAAGGTTAGTTATCCACGTTGACAAACACATGATGATGTAGACATTCATTCAACCCTTCTTACATAGAATTTCATGTTCCTCAAACCTCTCAAAACTCATTTATATTAATTTAACACTATATCATTAGAGCATAATTCTTAATACCATTTATCTAATTTTTTATATCTCCAACATTATACCAAAAACACAACTGGCTTAATATCCTTTGAACATAGATATCAACATAATTTATATAAATTAAATGTTATGTTTGATATCATAAAATTAGATGTTAGATAATTTTTAGGCTAAAATATGAATTTGCGTACTATTTTGAGACTTTCATCCATAATCATAATAAAAACTTTCCTTAGAATATTTCACCACTTCAGGTTAAAATAGCATGGAGTTTATATTGACAGTAAGTGTTTTTCTAATATAAAATCATATGTTATTTTATTTAAATGTTTCATCTTATTGTTGTTGTTGTTATTGTTGTTATGGTCTAACTATTTTCACCTTGATTTATAACAAAAATCTTTTTAATAATTATATTACCCGATTAGGAAATTCACGTGATTCATCATTGGATTGACATTTCATACACCGATTTATTACTAAAGGTTGTGTTTGGTATTATGGAAGCGGTTGTTTTTCAGAGTGCTTCTTATTTGAAAATATATCAAAATAATATTTTTTTTACACCAAACATCAAAATAATCCAAAAACATAAAAAAACTAATTGAAAGAAAAAAAAAATTATTTTTTTTAAAGCACAACCACACCACTAAAAAAAACGGGCTCTTTATATCATCCAAAGTTTATGCTAATTTTACTAGGGATTTCCACCTCTGATAATAAAAATTTATCTCATAATTTATTATTTTTTAATTTGAGATTTCTCTAGTTAATTGGTTTATAATTTTAAACTAAGGTTTTACAATAACCCTTCAAAACATATAAGATGCAAGGGGATTTAGCTACTAGAATTTTGTTGGATGGTTGGGGGGATGGCCACTAGAACTTTTAAGCATTTAGAGTGCATTTGTTTTCCGCTAGCTTTCATGTTAGCGGTGAAATAAATGCCCCAACATGTTTGGTAATAAAAGAAACTACATTTTATGCTACGAAACCAACTAAAAAATTGAGTTTGAAATGCAGATTTTGTACAGCAATTTTTACATATTTTTTAAAGTGTTTTTCATATAATAACACATCAAAATGATATTTTTTTATTTTAAAAAAATTATTTTTGACATCAGCATATCAAAATAATCTGAATATACTAAAAATAATTAATTTAAAGCAAAGAAAAATTAAAAAAATTTAATTTTTTTCAAAAGTATTTTTTAAACACAAAAACAAATAAAGTAAGCATTTTATCCAAAAATGTTTTACATGTTTTTTTGTTATATATAAACTTCAATTATAATTTTTACCAAACACGTATTTAAATCCAACTAAAAAAAATTTTTCTAAATTTATTTTTTTAAAACCATAATAAAAAAAGCTATATCAAAAACAAACATACCCTTAATTGATATCGTGCTTTTAAAATATAATATTTAATTAATTTTTTCTAATATAAAATCATATGTTATTTTATTTAAATGTTTCATCTTATTGTTGTTGTTGTTATTGTTGTTATGGTCTAACTATTTTCACCTTGATTTATAACAAAAATCTTTTTAATAATTATATTACCCGATTAGGAAATTCACGTGATTCATCATTGGATTGACATTTCATACACCGATTTATTACTAAAGGTTGTGTTTGGTATTATGGAAGCGGTTGTTTTTCAGAGTGCTTCTTATTTGAAAATATATCAAAATAATATTTTTTTTACACCAAACATCAAAATAATCCAAAAACATAAAAAAACTAATTGAAAGAAAAAAAAAATTATTTTTTTTAAAGCACAACCACACCACTAAAAAAAACGGGCTCTTTATATCATCCAAAGTTTATGCTAATTTTACTAGGGATTTCCACCTCTGATAATAAAAATTTATCTCATAATTTATTATTTTTTAATTTGAGATTTCTCTAGTTAATTGGTTTATAATTTTAAACTAAGGTTTTACAATAACCCTTCAAAACATATAAGATGCAAGGGGATTTAGCTACTAGAATTTTGTTGGATGGTTGCGGGGATGACCACTAGAACTTTTAAGCATTTAGAGTGCATTTGTTTTCCGCTAGCTTTCATGTTAGCGGTGAAATAAACACACCAACATGTTTGGTAATAAAAGAAACTACATTTTATGCTACGAAACCAACTAAAAAATTGAGTTTGAAATGCAGATTTTGTACAGCAATTTTTACATATTTTTTAAAGTGTTTTTCATATAATAACACATCAAAATGATATTTTTTTATTTTAAAAAAATTATTTTTGACATCAGCATATCAAAATAATCTGAATATACTAAAAATAATTAATTTAAAGCAAAGAAAAATTAAAAAAATTTAATTTTTTTCAAAAGTATTTTTTAAACACAAAAACAAATAAAGTAAGCATTTTATCCAAAAATGTTTTACATGTTTTTTTGTTATATATAAACTTCAATTATAATTTTTACCAAACACGTATTTAAATCCAACTAAAAAAATTTTTTCTAATTTTTTTATTTTAAAACCATAATAAAAAAAGCTATATCAAAAACAAACACACCCTTAATTGATATTATGCTTTTAAAATATAATATTATCAGATTTTTTAATCATGATTTCTATATATTGCATTTTATTACTACAATATCAATTAAATATTTCATTTTAAAACCACAGCAACTTTAAATTGTACTACTTTTCCCAAAAAAAAAAAATTACAAATGTATTAGTTCACTAAAACTTTTATTTCGCCAAAACATTCAACTTTCTAGGCTTAAAGGTAGCTATTAGCCTACAACAAATTATTTTCACCCATACGTGAAAGAGGGCTTGGCATGGTGTTAGTGTGTGGGCTAATTATCTCTATGGCTCCAAACTTCTATTTAAAAATCCCCCCATCAGAAAAGGAGCAAAGCCTAAACTTTCCAAGCCCACCTTCTTTCTATCCTCATTTTCCTCCCCAACCTTTCTTTTAGTCCTCTCCCCAGTCCCCCGCACCACAAACCAGTAGCAAAAACCAGGGCTGCAACAGGAGGTTTCTGCTTCTATTTTTATATACTTGTGTCACGATCAGGACTCATATTTTGTACATTGGTCTTGTGTCACGATCAGGACTCATATTTTGTGTCTACACTCTACACTGGTCTACTACTTTATTTACTCTCCTTGTCTTTAGTTTCTTGTATCATATATTTTTGGACAACTATGTAGACTTGTAATCACACAGTTGCATGCATGCATCTGGGAAGAAAAGGAACAATTTCTTTCTGTGATGAAATAAATGTAAGATCCATGATCTTAGCAAAACCCTTTATGTTAAAAGAAGAAAATTATGAGCGATTAAAGTGGTGTATAATTAATTAGAGAATCACATGCTTCCAGTTCTACAATCTACAAAAACAATCATGGCCCATCGAAGAAAGCACTCAAGGATTTCACGCCATCATATATATAACGAGGCTCTCCTGCATATCAAATCTAGAAAATTAAGCTCTCCTGGCCAGATCAAATCTAGAAAATTAAGCAAGGAGAAAGATAATCAAAGAAATTCATCATTTAATTATTAACAGCTACTTTCTACTCCCAATCGTTGATGAGAAGTTCTGGCTCTACGTCCCTCAGCGACAAGTGCTTCACGAGCTGATGTGATTCCTTTTGGGGCTAACAGCTTGTCAAATGAAGAATAATCAATCCAATCTGTAAGCAAATTTTCTTGACCCCATGTATCCGGAATCATCACCTTGCCACTCACCTCTTCTCTATGCCTCTTTAGTCTCTCACGTCCTGGAGTAGCAGTAGTAAGAGTAACACTTTCTCTGTGCATTAAAATCAATGCCTCGGCTGCCTGCTCTTTCACTTCATTGCCAACATTCTCCACTCCAGGATAAGAACACCATGTTTGTGCTTTGTTCATGATTTGCGAGGTTTCTGCCCTAGAAGGTGACTTTGGTTGCCAAGAAAATGCAATATTCCTAGCGGTGGGTTTTCCTGGATTGGAGGAGGGTTCATGTTTCATAGATGACAAATGCGTGCCCTCCATTTTGAAGCAAAATACTGGGGCTCGCTACACTAGGGAGTGCTGGCTAGAGTTTGATGAGGCTTGAGGCTTATAAAATCTTGATTGTGCGTGCAAGAAAGAATAGATGGGAGGAAAGTGATAACACAGATCACAAGTGTTAGTTTTTTTTGTATGGTATCTGACAACCCTACGTCTCATCATCCACGCTTCTTGTTGGGGTCAGATTTGTGTGGCTTAAGTTGGTATAGAAAGGTAGGTATGAATAGTACACAGCAGGACTCTTCTAATAAAAAATATGTTTCTGTTTTTTGGATGGCTGAAGGTGGCCACCAAGTGTGCGCGGTGTGCACTAGCAAGGTCTGGTCCAATACCGTCGCTTTATTTGGTATGTGAATTAATTGAGGTGGAAAGGTAGCACACAGGAATTGATTTTCTAGGGAGCAAACATGTGGATGAGTATAAAAACAGAACAGGATCACAGAAATTGATTTCCTGAGGGAAAGATTTTATGATATCTATATAGAGAGAATGAGATATATTTTTGAGAGTATCATACTTAATGCTAAGATGAAGACTAATAATCTATTTTGATCCCAAAAATAATCTCTGGGTTGAAAAATCGCTGAAAAAAGGTACCAGGCACAAGTGATAAGAAAGCTTCAAGGGGCCAAAACAAGAAATAATGGGTGGCATCTCACTAGGATTCTATTATATCACCCAAAAGGCATAGATAAATGTCATATTGATGTACTACCAAATTCTTTATTTGAAGAAAAGAATTGGAGGCTCTACACGGACCACAAATGCAATTTTAGAAATCTAAACTTAAAACAATTATTTTATGAGTGAATCTCTAGCATTCCAGTCAACTCTAAAGGTTGTCAGGAGAAGATCTCAGAGTAAAAGAAAAACAAAAGGATGAAGAATATACATTTCAATACAACGAAATAACAAGCAAAACAGGTCACATTCGCGGGAAGAGAGAACGACCCTTCTTCCTCAAGAACTCAGGAATCTCCACGGAGCCACCATCAGTGTATGGTGGACGTCTATTTGTTCCAAGAGAAACATCACCATGAGCACGCTGTGTCCCCTGCATTTTGGCCTATCAAAAGGATATAAACAGATACAATTTATCATACGAAAATGGACCTCAAAAACATACCTGTCCTTCACCTTCATCCCTGCGATTGAATCCAGTAGCAATCAGGGTTATGCTAACCTAAATGACAAAAGGACACCACAATAACTAAATAAAGAGAGAGATGATTATTGATTAATCAGACTTAAAGCTCATGCTGCAAGAAATGATATTTATAATATCCTCATACATCAGAACTCAACAACATTGAACTTCAGCTTCCAGGCTCTTCAAACAGAAGAAAGAGGTAGAACCAATAAAGATTTCTCTTTGGATTCATCCCTCAGAGTTGAATAGCTCATTATCACAAGCTAAATTAGCAATTTCAGATGTCATGTTTCTTAATTAAAATTATAAAAACTCAATTTTGATTTATTGTTTGCTCATCATCAATACTATCTTAAAGGAAAAACATTATGTAATCTGTAAGTACAAAGCAAGGGAAATGGGATTGCCAAACATAATGGTTCTCTAATAACCTGAAAGCTCATTCATACCACTAACTTGAAGGACTCATGCAATGAGATTAAAGCTTGAAGTTCAAAAGAAAAAAAAAATTATAATAAGATTAGAGAAGGTTGCATAAATTCGCATTCTTGAAAAATTAGAAGCTGTATATCTGGGTTTTCTCAGTCCTTTATTTTTTGAAATCTTCTGCTTTAGGGTATGAATGTTATCCAGAAATTCATGTGGAATTGCTTAGCAATTCATTTTTTATGAGAAACTTTGGTATATAGGACATATACAGTTCTGGAAGTTTTGACGCAGAAAAATCTTTGACAAAGAGAAATTGACTCTTGCTGGCCACTTGAATGAGAAAAGCTTTGCTAAGGTCAAATTTTGTGATATGCAACAGTAATCATTTATCTGTATTTTCTATCTCGTCCTCAGAACCTCAATTTTTCCTTGTATTCCTTTTGTTTATTTTTTTTTTTTAAAGAAAATACTGTCCAGATTACCTTTTACCAGAATAATAAAAAACATAATGTTAGTGCTATTTCTCTATTGCCTACTTACTTGACCGCTTAGTGATGGATCAATCACAGCTCCAAATATTAGGTTTGCAGTTGGATCCACAAGGTCATATATAACCTCCGCTGCAGCATTCACCTTCAAGAAATATGACACAAGAATTGAAGTCAAAATATCTTCTTACTAAATAGAAAACCATGGCAGGATGTTAGTGTAAATGATGGGTGCAGAAAGCCATGTAGGTACATATTAACCCAACTCGTTAAAACAAATTATAGCACAAATGCACACAACATTGGCTAGTGTTTAGATAAACAAGACTGGTTTTTTCACTGCTACAATCCCAAAAGCATACAAGTAAACCACTCATTTCATTTGCTTTTCCCCTACGAGCAATAAAGTTTGTATTGGTATGCAGAACTTGCACATTAATATATGTATGTCTCTTCAAAAAGCTGTTCCAACTTCATGTTGGACACTGTAGAAGTAGGTTGCCTATTAGCATGTGGCCAGTAGAGATGAGAATGCATGTGCAGGCCATAGTTTTCTCATCATTCCCAGACAAGCTGGTGGCATATGTTGCTTAAATCTTTCTAAAACAAATAGAAAAAAAAGATGCAAGCACCTATCTAACCGATCAAAGCCAAGATATAAAGGATGCTTGTACAGACTCAATTTCTTTATCCAATAACAAAAAATTAGAACGTACAATAAAGAGTGACAATTTATCATGCTAATAAACCAACAGCATGACCATGATACTATTTCACAAGGAATTTTACTTTTTCCAAAGACTTAATTCTGCAAGAGCAGGACCACTATTTCATGAGTTAAGGACATGGCATGCATTACAAGTAGCTTAGCAAATCTCAGTGTTCTTATTTTGCTTGGAAAACAATTACATACAAATTAGTGCACCGACTCTCCAAATCCTAAACTTTTGGATTGCAAAAACACAACAGTGATAAAGACTCATTATAGAAAAGAAAAGATTGCACCCATTTGGCATAAAAAATGATGCTTGCGATCTTGAATGTGCATGCCTATATGTTTAATAGTTAATATTCCACAAAGACCATGACAGTCTAAAACCTGATCCCATGCATCCTTATAAACTGAGCAGCAGCCAAAGCAATAATGCTTGCATTCCAGTGGGGATTGGTACTATCTATTCCATAGTACTCCCAAAAACACTACTAAAAAGTGCAGGAGATAAAATAGCAATAAAATCAGGTTCAACCACGACACTCAAAGAAGAAGGCCCACCTCAAACAACGTTAAATCAGTTCCACCAGTTATATTCCACACAATCCCAGTAGCTCTTTCAATGCCAATATCTAACAAAGGTGATTGGATGGCATTCAATGCAGCGTCTCTAGCCCTGGTTTTCCCTGCTAATCAATAAAGCAAAAAAATTATTACAGCCAGACAATTAAAACTTTGATCATGATGCATCAAACAGTTTTGTGCAGAAAAAAATTGAAGAGAAAACAGAAATCGAGAATGACACCATGAACGAGGCAGGCATTCAGAAAAAAATAAACAAGAGGTGTACCACAAAAACCCAAGAAATTAATAATAGAAATGCATGTAGTGACATAACAATGTTATTCTTTTCTTTCTTCTTTTACATACCAGTTGCAGTTCCTATTCCCAAAAGAGAAGAACCTGCATCTTTCATGATAGCTCGAACATCAGCAAAATCAACATTAACCAGACCTGGCACCTGTAGAAGAAAATTTCCCACCATTAAGAGAGGAATAACTGAACAAGTAAGAACATTGCTGAATATGGTTGACAAAGGAAAGGAATAGAAGATAGAAGACAGAGGCCTAGAGACATGGGATACGTCCAGAAACCCCTGTCAGATGACTGCAGCAACCTGGAAATTGGCCTTCTCTTCTTTTGCAGGATTTGATAAGTAAGAAGTGTCTGGTTGCAAATTCAACGGAAAATTTGAAGTAGAGAGAAATAAGTGCGAATGTTGGTTCCAAAAAAAGGGTTTTTTTATAATTATAAAATCAAGTGCAAAGACATTGTCAGAGCTGATTGAATGGTCAAACATTAAACAAACAGTGAAATTGTGCATAATTTATAAGCTCATGGTCATGAAATATGAGGGTTAGCACATGAACATCACACATGATTACCGGAAACGAAATCATAGGAAGCCAAAGACACAAATTAAATTGGCATTTGTCTTTATTTGTTCCATACCATAATGATGTCAGAGATACCACGAACACCTTGCCGAAGTATGTCATCAGCCAAGTTAAATGCCTCTGTCACTGGGGTTGATTGAGAAACTGCAGTCAGCAACTTGTCATTAGGAATAACAATTAATGTGTCGACATTGTTTCTCAGAGCCGCGATTCCTTCCTGAGCTTGAACAGCGCGTCTTCGGCCCTCAAAAGAAAACGGTGTCGTAACAATACCAACAGTCAGTATTCCCATAGACTTTGCAACGCCAGCAATAACTGGAGCCGCACCAGTGCCAGTTCCTCCACCCATTCCAGCCTACAAATTTAACGCATCAACAGGATATCATAACAGAATGAGAAAAGCAGCAACAATCAGGAAGTACAGTACTGTGATCTATTTCTAGGACTTGTGAAGAACTACATAGAGACAAAAAAAAATATAAAGGGAACCCTCAACAGAATGTGGTAGATCTATAGCAATTGTTCTTGCCTAATTTTACATCAATATCTGATATAACATGAATCATAGCTATGATCTGATGATATGAACTTGTAATTTTGCACTTCCTTCAACAACTATAATCTTCCCCCATTATTTTCCAATTCAGGAAAAAAAAATTAAAGCATTCGATTGACTACAGTTGAACTCCCATATCTATTGGATTTACTACTTAACTAGATGTCAGCAAGGATCAATGGGAAGCCTAATATGCAGTTCTGCAAAACACAAAAAAGTGTGCCTCTGATCTCAATATTCTACTGAAGTGTGCAAAACTAATAAATTGTTCTTTTCTAAAAGATGATAGAAAGGAGTTCTATATCTGACCTACTTTCATCTTACTAATTTTTTTCAACAAATAACATATAGGAAAATAACTAGGGCATACTGTTATGAAGACCATGTCTGCACCATAAAGTGCCTCCTCTATCGCCGCTTTGCTTTCATTTGCAGCATTCATGCCTATATCCGGGTTTCCACCAGCACCCAGACCTCTAGTCAGCTCTTTGCCGACTTGCAATCGATTCTCTGGGAGCACTGGTGACATCTTCATTGCCTGAATATCTGTGTTCACTATCCAAAATTCCACCCCTGTCAGAGAACTCTCGATCATTCTATTAACAGCATTAGACCCACCACCTCCAACACCAACAACCTTGATCTTGGCTTCATTGTAGTTGCTCATAAAAGAGGTATCCCCTGAGCTCTCGGTGACATTTTTTCCAGACGTCTCCTTTCTCAGAGTAGAATATGTGTCATTTGCATCACTTCTGAGCATTGAAACCTCGGGGTGTAAATCCAGGAAAGAGTCTTTGTGATTTGGACTGATATTGTGAGAGTTAACCGAACACCTAATTTGCGAGATACTGAAGACATTTCTTCTACATGCGCCCCATGAACCTTTCTTCTTGTCAAACCTTTGGACCGTAACTATTCTACCAAATCGGTTTTCTGTTGAAATCCTTCGTCCTACTGAAATTTGAGTACCAGATGGCGTGAAAGGCGGAGAAACACAAGTCGCCATACTAGGAGGGAAAAAGCAAAATTCTTTAAATTACGATTCAGTAGTGAAGTAGTTTAGAACCAAAGCTGCCCAAATCGAACTGTTCTGCTTACTTCCATTCTTCCTTAACCTGGACACAGGTAATAACAAGTTAACCAGTCAAGATACACACAGAAAACAATAGCATTAGAGAAAAAAGATTTCAAACTTTAAGAAATCCATCTTGGGTCAAGAAAACAAAACAACATTGAAAAACAAATCAAGATCCAACTACCAACCCCGCCCCATATTTCAAAACAAAAAAACATGCACTTTCAAGACTCTTTCTTTATTTGAAACTATTCGCACATGAAATTGGCCACGAGCACTAATAATTCAACAATTTAGCTACAACATATGCCTGGAATAACCAAGAAAGAAGCCAATAATTGGGGGGAGGGGGGGGCCTAAACCACCCATCACTGCATCAAACAGGAACAAAAATGGAGAAGATGACATCTGGACACAAGTGAAACAACATTTTAAGAAGAAAAAAAAACTATAAAACAACTCACAAATAGAATGGCAAAAAATCACAAACCCCAGCATGGAAAATTAGAAGAAGAAGAAGGAAGCAAGGTAAAGCTAATTACTTGGCTGCGAATGCTGAAAATTTAGGTTATGAGAGAGGCTTGTTATGTGACTGAGATGATAACGAGCATCTTAAAGTTTTTTTTTAAAAACAAATATTAAAATAATAATTTTTTATTTTTTTAAATATTTAAGACTAATATATTAAAACAATTTAAAACAAAAATAACTTAAACTTTTTTTTAAAAAAAGTTAAATGTCATTTTTTAAAAATATTTTTTATTTAAAAATATATTAAAATATTTTTTTTATTTTTTAAAATTTATTTCAAATATTAACCTATCAAAATAATATAAAAACATTAAAAATAAATTAATTTTATAAAAATAAAATTTTATAAATTTTATAAAAAGAAATTGTTACCCGAACACATCCAAATAAAGTTATTAAAATCATGAATTAACTCATATATTTAACAGGTAAAATTATTTTAAAAAAATGAATAAAATACTAAAATAAAGATTGAATTTATAGTTTGATATATATTTTCTACAACCCTTCTTCGGAATCATCCAACCATTACTTCAATCATGGTTATAATCTTTTCTCTTGTGCGATACATGTTTTCAATTTTTAAATCAAAGAAAAAAGTGAGACCTCTCTCTTATTGAATTAGATACATTTTGCAGTTCTAGGATACAAGCCAAAGGAAAGCTAATGTGACAAATTCATGTAACTGTATCTTTTTTTTTATTATTATTATTATTATAGATATCTAGACCAGATTACATATCTTTTTTTTTATTATTATTATTATAGATATTTATACCAGATTACATATATCTTGATTAATTTCATAAATTTTAAAATTAATGACTATATAAATTTTAAATGGTCATCATATTAACAACTACATAAGAAACCAAACTCTTTAATCTTAAATTCTTATCTAAACCACCTATTATATAGTTAATATCATCTAATAAAATAGCTGACAACCAATAATTGAGTTATTAGCAAAATATATGGCACGAGAAAAAGAAAAGCTTAAGTTGTTTAGAAAAAATAATAATAAAAGAAACTTTTGAAAGGTTAAAGAAGAAGAAAGTGAAAGGTAAAATAAAGAAGTTTTGGAGTTTAGTTTTAGCATAAAAAACTCGATTTATTTTTATTAATATCTTATTTTGTTTGCATTTTTTTTATTTAATCATTCATTTAGTCATATGTATCATGGTATTTCTTTTTTAACTAAAATTTATTTAGATTCATAAAATGTTTGGATTGATTATATAGCTAATTTGAATTTATTCTTGAATTGTTGATCATATAACATTTAGAAAACAAGTCTTCTAGTAATAGACTTGATGTGGGATGGCAACATAATATAGATATTGATAAGAATTCTAAAAAAAGTCAGTATAAGTATTGTCAGAAAATTATCAATAGAGATACTTTTGATTTCAAATATCATTTGGTTTGCACTCGTAAAGATGTTAAACCATGTCTATAAGTTTCATAATATGTTAAGTAAAATTAGGTAGTTTAGTAAAATATCTAGAAGTAACTAGAAAAAAAAAGAAAAAGAAAAAAAGCTCATTAATATATTGGAAAAGAAGTTAATGAAATGAAATTAATTAGCTCTAGGGGCAAATGAAAAAGAGCAACTAATGAGAGTGGAAGTGCATAAACAATCATAAATCAAATGCTAAAAAAAGATATCAGAGAAGAAGTATGTTAATAAATTGCAAGGTTTATTTACACTAATGTAATTTTATTTAACTATCTAAAACACCCTGAGTTTTTTAAGGCACTTGAATTGATTGCAAAGCATATGTCAAGTTTCAAGCCTCTGTCTTATTATAATATTAGAGAGATAAGCATCTGAAGCAAGAAATGGATCGAACAATGAACTTGCTTGAGGAGTATAAGCTAGAATGGAAAAAAAAAATATTTAATAATGTTTGATGGATTGACAAATAAAAAAAGATGTTTTATTTACAACTTTTTAGTTAATAGTCCTAAATGGATCATTTTTTATCATTGATAGATACTTCTAATATGTCCAAAACTGCTAATAAGGTATTTGATATATTGGATGTCATTATAAAGAAGACTAGGAAGAAAGATGTTATGCAAGTAATCACCGATAATGTTATAAATTATAAGGTAACAATAATTATTGATGGAAAAAGAGAGAGAGAGAGAGAGGTTATTTTGGATACTATGTGCTGCCTATTGTATCGACTTAATATTAGAAGATTTTGAGAAGAAACTAGAGGTTCATCAAGTTACTATTACTAAGGAGAAGGATCGCCTCATATATTTGTTTAATAACTATTCTTATTTACATGTTAAGGCACTTTACAAAAAAAAAGGATTTAATTAGGTTTGCTGCCACTCGACTTGCTACTGCATATTTGACTCTGAAATGTTTGAATTATCATAAAATACAACTGATGATTATGTTTACTTCCAAACAATAGAGGTCATGTAGGTTTTCAAGAATAAAAAAAAGGAAACGAATTCAAAATTGTGTTTTGGACATCAAGTTTTGGCATGATGTTACTATATGTATTAAAACAATATATTTTATAATTAAAATTATTTGATTAATTAATTCAAATAAAAAATCAATCATGGGTTTTATATATAAAACAACGGATTAAGCAAAAGAAAAGATACAAATGAATTTTAGTTTTGTGGAAAAAAAATATTTATCTTGCTAATTATTTATTTCACATGTTATTCTTTATTAATATAAATATTTTTAGAGAGATATTTCCAATTTAATTATATATTTATATGGAATATTGTTGATACAAGACATAAACTTCAACTTCATAGATCTTTATATACAACAACTTATTATTTGAATTTTCATTATTATAACAAAAATCTAAATTTTAAAGTTAATGTCAGCATTAAAATTGGATTATATCAATACTTAAAAAGATAGTGTTTTATGCAATCGAAAGGTGCAAAATTGATTTATAACTTTAATTATTCAAGGATGCAAAAGGGTTATTTGGTATCGAGACTGTTAAGACAACAAGGGATGAAAAAACTCCAGCTCAATTGTGAAATTTTCACAGGGATTAATGTCTAAAATTATAAAGGTTTGCAATTCGAGTTCTAAGTTTGACATGTACTTCATCTGGACATAAGTATAATTGAAATGCATCAGAGCTGATGAGTTTTTGTTATTTTATTATTTTAAATATTTGATAAAAATCTTATAAATTTGAATTGCTTATTTAAGTTCATACAAAAACAAATAAATCATTTACACAAAAAAAAAAATGAATAACTTGATATTTGTAATATCCAATCTGAAATTAAATGACAATCAAGTCAAAAAGCAAGCTGATGATTTTGGTGTAATTTTAGATTATTTTTCATCCAATAATAATTAAATAATTGAGAGAAAAAAACACGATGCTTCATCAAACTTTGATTTGCTTAATGTCATTAACAATGCAATATCAATAAAAAATAATAAAAAAGATGAAAGTGATGAAGAAAAATTTTTATAATAATGCTGAAATAAAAAAAAAAAACACGATGCTTCATCAAACTTTGCTTTGCTTAATGTCATTAACAATGCAACATCAAGAAAAAATAATAAAGAAGAAGAAAGTGATGAAGAAAAAAATTTATAATAATGCTGAAATAAAAAGTCATGATACTAGAGATGACTTGAAAATTGAAATTGATGGCAGTTTAGAGATTTTAAAGAGTTTTAAGTTAAATAATATTAATAATATATTGGTGTAGTAACACTAATAATTTACTTAATAATAATAATATTAATAAATTTTTAAGGAATAATGACGAAAATGAAAGAAATAAAGCTAGTTTTAGTTTATGTGACACAGGTGTTGATACTAGTAGTAACACTAATAATTTACCTGATAGTAATAATATTAATAAATTTTTAAGAAATAATGACGAAAATGAAAGAAATGAAGCTAGTTTTAGTTTATGTGACACATTAACAAATTATTTGTTTTAAGTCTATTAATTTTTAATTAATAAAAATTAAAAATCTATAGATATGAATAATTATATTATGTTTTTAAATTATACATAAATTTTTATTTAATACTTGAAATATATATAAATTTTTATTAGAATCTTTTAATTTAAGATTATAAAAAAAAATTCCTCGTTACTATCCGAGTTGGCTTTTATTTGTGTAGTTGAGGTTTTTGTATTGACAGTTGTCTTTGAATGGAAAAGATTTGCCCAAGTCTTATAAAAATCTTAGCAGTCAACTGGGCTAAGATCTTGGTGGCACGGTTGCAGCTAGGGATACAGGGTGATATCAGTCGGTCTCTGAAGGGTGCCAGCGCCTCTTTGGCTCTAGTCATTGGTGGCTCACCACATGTTTGATAAACAAGACCACGACGGTTGGTAATCCTTGCAAAAAAATATTTTTTAAAAAAAATTAATTTTTTTTTATTTTAAATTAATATATTTTTAAATTATTTTAATATATTAATATTATAAATAATTTTTAAAAATTAAAAAAAATATTATTAACATATTTTTCTAAATAAAAAATACTTTAAAAAACAATTATAATCACACTTCAAAATACACTCATTTTTCTCATATGTTTTATTTATTTTTGAAATGCTTTCAACATAAATTTTCAAAATATTTTTTTAAAAATATTTTTTATTTAACCTTTTTTATAACCATGATATAAAGATGTTGAAACCACAAAAAATTTAATATATTTTTTAAAAAATATTAAAAAATTTTTTTAACTCCATTATCAAACACACAGTCAGGTGAACACGGTTGGGGTTTGCCCTGAGGTTTCCCTTCTTATTTCCATTGCCAGGTGAAAAAGCGTTTCTGTTTCCATTATATGTTCGTTATGAGAAGTAACTTGATTTCACATCGATAAATTTGGCGGGGTTTTTTTCCGTTTTGCCATCATCAAGCCTGTTGATCTTCTGAGGTTTTTTTATCCACCACATACCTGGAAAACAGCGTCTCCTTGGGATAGATTTTTTCATTGGCAACGATCTTTTCCTTGTATTTTATGCAGGTGGAGGAG